GGACCAGCCCGGCCCCAGGGTTCCCATCTCTGAGGTTTGGGGAAGAGCAAATGGGCCGTCACACGCCCATGAGTAAGTGGTGCCCCACAGGCAGCTGAAACCGCTGTGGACTTCCCCTCAGCGAGAATGAATATTATCTTTATGACCAAGCACCTTTGACTGGAAATGGGATTCTGACTTCATAGAAATCCTGCAAAGGGAGAGATTAGGAAAAGGCGGGGACCTCCTAAATCCCTTCATCGGGAGAACACAGGGCAGAGCCGGGGCCAGCCCTGGATCGCGCTTCTCCCGCCGAGCCCCCCACAGGCAGGGAGGGTGCGAGGCCAGGTGACCTTGCACCCTCTGCCTGGAAGCGGGTCCCTGGGAAGGTGTCTGTGTTGGAAGGCGGCTCCTCCCCCACTCTCCCGGCCACATCGGAGGCCTCACTGCCTTGGTCTGGGATTAGTGGGCCTACTAATCCCACCAATCCACACACCCATGCCCACCCTCGCCCACCTCCCGGCCCTCAGGGAGAAGGCTCTGGAGGAAGGGCTGGTGGCATCCGACGGCGGGAGACAAGGGAAGGCCACCACTCCTGCCTCAGAGACTCCTGGGCTCCGGGACCACGCTCTGGGCTCACAAAGGAACATCGGATATAGTCTGTGCGCTCGAGTTCCCGCCGGACAACGGCCCCGGAGCCATGGGTCAAAGTGGAAAGAGCCCCCCTGGACGGTTAGGTCTCCGGTCCCAAGTGTTACAGGGAACATAGAAGCCAGCCGAGGGCGGGGCTTCGATCCACCCAGAGGGAGACAAACACGCAGACCCAGGTCCAGGGGACACTCTGGAGTCAGCGGGAGCTCCCTGTAGCTGCAGCCTGAGGGGTCGGCGGGGCAGCGGCCGCTGACGGGGTGGAGACGAGCACAGAGCTGTGGACACGCTCACTGAGCGGCCGGGGTCATCCCAAAGGCGACGGGAACCCTGGAGCGATGAGGCAGCCAGAGGGACGCTCGGTGGCTGCTGGACACAAGAGGACAGCTGGTGGGCAAGCATGTCCCGCAGGAGACGCGTAGCTCCCCAAGCAGAGCGCCGCTCACGGCCAACCATCCCCTGGCAGCCCACCGCTCTCTCCACAGACGCCCGGGGCTTTCGAAATAAGCATGGCCGCCGGGCACAGAGCACTTCATGTGCGCAAGACCCTCTTCTAAGCATTTCTTTTCTTTTCTTTTCTTCTAAGCATTTTGCATGCAATCGTTCATTCAGTCCTCACATCTACCAGGTGGGGTAGGTACTGCTATCAGCCCATTTTACCAGCAAGGAGAGCGAGACACAGCTGGGGGAGTAAGTTGCCCAATGTCACCAGCTACTGGGTGGCAGAGCGGGGCCAGCAGTCCAGTCCCCTGAGTCGGCACACAGGGGGCCCAACCCCCTTCCCCCTGCGTGTCCTCACTTCCTCCAGCCAGGACAGCCCCGTCAGGGTCCTGGCGTGCCTGTTGCCCTTCTCGCTGCTCTCCCATCAGCCCTGGCCCCTGCTGAGCTCCCCGCCAGCCAGGCAGCCCTTGCTGCTGACCTGCCTAGAGCCTGGGCTCGCCTGGGCACCATACTGCTGTCCTCAGGATCCACCTGTCCCAGAGGTCGCTCCAACTAGACGGGGATTCCCAGAGCTCAGGGCTGTTGCTTTCTATCGCTCCCCCCTTCGATCTCCTCCTCCCTCCTCTCCCCAAATGAACTATCACCTTCGCACAGCATCATAATCACACCCAGCCCTTCCTCGGGGCACTCAGCCCTTGGGGGGCGCGGGAGGGGGCCGGGAATCCCATGTCTCTCACCTCGCCTCTCTCTGTACAGGATTCACCCCGCACGCACGCCGCCTGCCTTCCCAGCACTCTGCCCGGGCCTGGCAGAAGCAGGCGGCGCGGGGCTGTGGGAGGGAGAATGACCCTGACTGTGTCAGAGCAGCATAATTTACAAAGCACTCTCTCACCCATTAACTCCAGGGCCTTTCCTTGCGAGTCTTCCTCGTCCCCCATGAGGCTCCGCACAGAAGCGTTCGCTCACGGCGCAGCCTCCTGCGGATCAATGGCTGAGAAGAAGGATGGACTCCTGGTTCCAGGGAGAAGGAGAGTCCACCCCAGCACCCACACTGCTGTCCTCCGCATCTCGAGGGCAAAGACGGGGTCTTGTTTGTCTCCACAGTTCAGGGCCCAGCACAATGCCTGCTACACCGAACCCCCTTTTTGGGAAACGTGTTGAGTCCATCGGTTCCCCCCTACAGAAGGAACGAGAGGACGCCTTGCTGCTGCGCTCCGCTAGGACCGGAGGGTGAGCTGGACGGAATCGTTACCATGTCCAGCACATTCTGACCTCGTGGGGTTTTTTTCATCTCAGACGTCTGATGGGAAAAGGGTCACTATTCCTATTTTGCAGAGAGGAAAACAGAGTCCCAGAGAGCCTCCGTGCGTGTTGCCCTGCCCATATCTCACAGTCAGTCCCCCAACTTCTGTGGGGGCCCGAGGTGATGGCACAGTGGCAAAGGCTGTGAGGTCCTACTGGCTCCCCCAGAAGCAAAAGGGCCAGGTCCCCGGTTCTAGACTCCCAGGCTGCCCTGGTGCTGTCAGACGGAGGGAGGGGGAGGCGGGGGGATGGTGGTGCTGTCAGTGCCGCTTAGCTGGTTCTCGGGTGGGTGTCTGCAGCGCCCACTGCCTGCTTGGGGACAGATTGCACAACCTTCCATCCTCAGACAGCGGGTGCGATGCCTGGTGAGCCCAAGCCACCCACACCCATGCCAGTGGGACCAAGCGCATGTTCACCTCCATCACACCAGTTCTCCCCGCCCCCTCGCCCCCCACAGCACGTGCAGGCTGTGCTGGACCATCTGCAAGTGGCCCGACTCCTGAAAACTGCTTTCCGAAACGCCTCCCCTGCCGGACTTTTATTTCCAGGTCCGATTCCGGACGGTGATGTGAATTGTCCCGGGGGGCGTGGGGGAGGCCTGAGGTCCCCCGCCCCAGCTCCTGAGCCAGCCTCGGGGCGGCCCCTGCGGTTCCCATTCCAGGGCTTTGGGGTAGCAGCACCAAACTCCACTCCACCTCCGAGACCCCAGGGCGCCCTCTAGCGGACGCGGGGTGCAGCCCTCGCTCGCCCTCGGGCCAGTCCCGCAGGGAAAGCGCACCTCGCCGACCCGCGCCGCACCACGCAGGTGTGGAGACCCGACTCGAGTAAAGCGGTCGTTCATTTGTCTGGGTGGGGGGAGGCGGCACCCTGTCAGTGTCCGCAGAGAAACTGGCCAAGGGCCCTGGGCCGAGGCCGGACAGCGGCCACGCAGGCTGCGTCCCCTCCAGCCCCGGGACTCGCGCTTTGCCTCGGGGACATGCCCACAGGTGGCCATCGCGCACCCCCTCCAACTCCCAGCTCCGGCCTCCGTTTCGCGGCCGGACTTTAGGGTGTCCCCAGTTCCCTTTAGGCAGGCCGGGGCCTCACGGGGCCTCGAT